CTGTCCTGCCTTTGCGAGGGGGCTGGCAGCTGCCGAGGCGGATCCTTCAGACCGTCCTTGCGCGGTTTGTGCTGCTCGGTGTTTCCCTTCCCGGCTCTCACCCTCTCCCCGAGGGCTGTGGCTGCACAGTGCAGTATGGAGGCTTGTGTTTCAAATGTATTCTTCTTTGCCTGGTCGGAAGGTCTTTATAGCGCTGTTTTTAAAATAATTACAACTCGTCTTTTATACTGATGTATTTACTGACTTCTGTTCATTGGTAACTAACACAGAAAGTTAACTATTCTGGATAGGCAATATATTTCTGGCAAATCTTTTTCGTTGGGGAAGACTTGGGGGGGACAGAGAGCACACGCATTCAGTAACTCATCTGTGGCTGCGCAGCTCTTCCTTTTGGTGGCAAAAGGTGCATTTACATAGATAAATTAAAAGTCCTTTACTTTTTAAGAAGGTGTTTAAAAGATTGTTTGGGGGGTGACTTCTTAAACCTGGATAACATAAATATATTTCACAGCAAGAGAACAATTACGTTTATTAGTTATAATGATTTCTGAACATTCTTCTGGGCATTTAAGTTTTCTGGTAAAGTTATTTCAGTTCCAATTGTTATCGGCAACAGTCCTAAATAACTGAGTAACATTTGTCGTAATTCAGTTTGTAGGTTGCAATAACATGCCAAAAAAGCGTAACACTGGCCAGATCAAGGACAGCAGTATGTAGACCTGAGTATTTTTTTTTTTTCAGAAATGTTTTTCAAGATGATCCTGTTTTATATTATTCATTGATCTTTACAAGTTTTACTTTGATTTGGGTAGAAGTTCTCTTTGTACGCAGACCTCAAACTTCAACTCTCTATTGTTACTACATAAAGAGCTGCATGCATACAGCTTGAAGTATTTCAGCAAGGTACCCTGACAGTGGTATGGATGCAGTATGGAAATCATAGGTGAATTCAGTTCTGCTGGAAAATACTACCTTTTTAACCAAGGAAAGACTAAAGGAGGAAAGAGCACTAAACTAACTGCAAGGCAGTTTCTTGTGGAAGTCTTTCAGAAAAATCACTATATTCATATCTACCCTGCACTGAAACTTGTTTTACTAGATCTACAGGCAGTAAAAAGCGACAGAGACATTCCAAGGACTAGAATTCATACGAGAGTCTAGGGGGGAGTCATGTCTCTTCCTTGCACTCTTGTTATGATCCAGGCACAACTTTGAATTTTCTGCATCACAGAACTGTAGCAGGACTCCTTGCAGGAGCTCTGATTACATCAGAGATGCACTGCAGAATTCAAAATACTGCAGAGGACACGGTGGGGGGGGGGGTGGAACGACACTTGAAGTAGAATTTTAGCATGTTACTCATGATTTCTATTTCTTTCCTTCAGAAGGACATCTTTAATAATTCTTTCCCCATTGTCTAGTAGGCTGGCACTTTTCCTGAATTTCTGCTGAAAATAAGGGCAGTACAGATTTCTATTTCGATTTCTTCACCAGACAAAATGGAAAAGAATATCATCCTGTGCGGGAGGGATTCCTGAGATGTTATTTCTTGCTTCACATGCGCACCATGCCATTTAGAGTCACCAACATACTGTAGCCCTTGCTATGGACCAGTTTGTCAGTATTACTGCAGTTTCTGAAAGCCGGAACTATGATCAAGATTGTATAATATAGTAAGAGAGAGTTCTTGCCCCATAAGCACACAGACAAAATAGGACAAGAGGAAAGGAAGCTCAGAGAGAAAGTGATTTGCCCAAAATTAGCACATGTTATGAGCAAAAGAGCTGGAAAGAAGAAGAGGGCTTCACTAACTCCCAAGCAAAAGGCAGAAGGCTAGCACAGACAAGGAGTAGACTCGGTAGGATTTTACCATTGGGCCTTACCCAGAGCACTTTTATTTGAGGATTTTAACATTACAGCATAACGTTGGGGAAGTTGTTGCTATAGGCTAACATGTTTGTCCGGCTTTACATTCCAAAGCGTTGTCTTTAATCCCTAAGGCATCTCTTCTAACTATCCACAATGTCATCTGTCTGCACTGTATGAATAAAGCAATTTGCTTGTTGTTCAAGCTTGCTAGCAAAAAAACCCTTCCATTAATCAGGCGTCTCCTGTCTTAAAGCAGTGCTAATCATCATTTGCAGAAGCGCCTTCCAAAGGGAAACAAGAAACATACAGAGACGTATACTACTTTATTTTTCTCCTTCCTCCTTTCCTTCGAGTCAGGCCATCTTTTTTATCATCCTTTATTTTCTCCTCTTCTTCTTCCTGGGATACGATGCTATGTGTATCAGAGGTAAAGAATATGTAAATAACCTGTGCATAGCATCAGATATCATAGTTCCTGTGCAGAGTCTGTTGGCTTGCCAGTTCTGATTATGGAAAAAGAAGGACTTACCTTTTATAACTGCAGTCATTTAATGTGTTACACAAGGGATTAATTTGTCCAATTTATTGTCTTGCACAGGTCGAGAGGCTGGAAGTGAAGAAAAAAATTTCCTTTTTTCGCTCTGGTATTTCACAGTTGATGCTTCAGGATTACAGTGTGTGTCTGACACACGCAGAACATTTACATTTCCCTCTCCCCCTTTCTTCCCATTGTGTCAACAATGGACGTGGTAGGAGATCAAACCAGCTACAGAGAGGAGCTGCCTCTTCAATTTTCCTGGCTGAGATTCAGGGCATAAGTTGTTGTTAACTGATATCATCTGGTATAGCAGAAGGGAAGATGGTTAACTTAGCTCCCATTTATCCACAGTCTTCTATTAATCATAACCTTTATTCTCCTTGGGCCAGCCCTACCTTAGACATATTTGAGGCAGAGGGGGGAAAAAGCTTGTTTCTAAAAAATATAACTCACTCTAAGGAAGAGAGCCTTGCAGAAACATACATCAGGGAGCCCCATTTTCCCACATCTAACCTATAGCTTAAACTCCCAGTGGCATTATTTCTACAGATAACGTAGACAGCATCTTGGGAATGCTTTAGCAGAAGCCCGGCAGCGAGCTCGTTCAGAATGCGTCCTGTGATGGGACTGTCTGCCAGCGTAATTGCCGGTTCAACTGTTCTTTACTTCTTCTGTTCAACATGCTCTAGCTATCACTATCTTCACTGGCCATCGTTCTCCTCAGATTTGTTCACTTATCTGAGTTCTGCAGCTTTACCAGTAGGCGATGGCAGAGCGCCATCATTTGTCGTGAAGCTCCACTGATAATCCCAGCATTGGCTAGAATTTCCTAGAACGTGGCCTTTTAACACAATTATGTTTTGTGTTAACGTTCTTTCAGAAAACAAGACTTTCAGATCAGCGGGCCTACGCTCGATCTTTACTGAGGCAAGACATACCAAAATCGATTGGCTATTTGAGTGCAGGCCTGCATGTTTTTGTCACTGTTTGCACTCCGTTGGTTTGGAGTTGCCCATCCCCTGCTGCGGGGATTTCCAGAGTCTTAACTCCAAAGCAAGGAAAGAGCAACTCAGCTCTGTGAGCGAGGACATAGCGATAAGGCACTGAAAGTTAAACATGCTTATGATTTTGGCATAGGGAATAGATTACTTTCCAAATAACTGTTCTAAAATCACCGGCAACAGCAAGAGAGGTCCCACTTTGTGACAGAGGCAAGATGAAACAGCTTACCTCTTTGCTTACCTCTGGCCAGAAAACAGTTCCTTAGCACTTGGACCATCTGAATTAAGTCTTGTCCATTCTTGTATATTCCGGTAGGCTTTATCCCACCACGTGCCCTAGAGGTAAGTAAATGAATGATTTCCTTTTGTACTAAAGAGTATCACAGGAGAGGAACCATGAGCTATGACTCCACCCAAAGCTCACTGGCGGCCTCCTGTTTTTAAGCATAGGAAATACTCTTTGTAGAGTATTCCCTCTTGTGAAGTTTCAGAGCAGGAGTGAGATAATATTTTATTGAAGGAGGCATTTTAAGTCCCCTTGCAGCAAAGATGGCCTGCTGCACTTAAATTGAAGTACAGCCATGTACTTCAATTTGTACTTTAAGTATTTTGCTGTTGCATATTCAGGGATGTTTTTTTTTCCTGTTCTAGGTATGTAACACAATTGATGAGGTTTATAAACCCCAGCTTCTGAAAACGACAGTTCTGCGTTTAAGGAAGTTACCCTAGCGGGGGCATACATCCCCCAAGGTGCCTATCAAAGAGGAGGTAAGTACAGCCAGGAAGAGAACAAAGCTATATACTGCTTTTGAAGTTAGTGAAGTATAATATTTATATTTATTCACTTTTCTGTGAACTTGAAGCTAGACAGTCAGAATATTTTCACATTTATTTATTGTGCCATCTTCTTGATAAATACTCTTCCCAATAAAGGAAGCTCAGTAGTTCTATGCACTAAGCCATGGCTGACCACACAGACGAAGGATCTAGAACCAGTACAGTGTAACTCCCCCATGCGGGAGCTGACATCCAGACTGACTTTTAACATTCACTGAGTTAGGGAGACAAAAAGTTCAACATTTCCAGTACCTGGCTTTAATACCCATTTGAAGTCTGTGATGACTTCGCTCCACAAACTAGTGTTGTGTGAACAGCATTTGAGATCGATTTGCAAATTCATGTCTTAAACATTTGTTTAGTTTTCTATGATGACAGATAAAAATAGTCATCTTTGTTCTCAGCTGCTATTCAATACATCAGTATTGAATACATCAGCACAGAGATCTGTTACTGTGTATAGGGTGTCGATTATAATTGAAATAAGGTTGCAACGTTGGTGCAGAAGTCAGGTATTTCTTAACAATCTTTTGTAAACGAGGCTGTAAAAAGGAGTTGCCGTGCCATTAAATGCCATTAAATATAAAAAATATTTTGTGATCATCAACGCAAGTGTTTTTTTTCCCAAATTGTTTGCATATGGATTTTTATAAATTAGTCTTGTAGTAACTGTTTTTAAGAGTATATATTTAGTGAATTATAACATAACTGATTTCTAATTATTTCTGTATACTTAATGGGTACTAAAATACTTAATTTTTTATGTATAGTAGTTAAATAGAAAGATTTTATTTCCTCTTCCACAAAACACACTTCAATTCTGTATTCTTATGTGATACTAGCTTATTTTTACTTTGCTTCTGAACCAGGAGAATCCTGCCACATGCATGTCATTATTTTCTCTGATCAACCTCTCTATGCCCACTGGGAATGGAGACCTCTGCATCTGAGATAGAAGAAGCCTTCCAACACGACAAACATGCAAAGTAGAGCTCCTGGACGAGGGAGTAGACCTTGACAGAGTCATTTCTACCCCAATGGACCAAACCAGCCTCGCTAGAAACCTTTTCTGACCATATTCAGCCGCTACTGTTTTCCTTCCAACTATCTCATCAACCCGAAATATTTTCGAGCTTCAGTCACTACATTTCTTCCAAAACTGAAAAAGGCCAAACACTCACTAAACCCAAATATCTGTTCTTTGTTCCAGAAGACACTTGCAGAAGTAGCAAAGTGATGTGAAGTTAGCTTCCAAGATGACTCTTCTACCGGGAGAAAATTCTGATTATGACTATAGTGCCCTGAGCTGCGCCTCAGATACTTCCTTCAACCACACATTCTTTCCAGAAACAGAAAGCCTTAAGGGAGTCTTTTACCAAAGAGCCAGACTAATTCACCCTGAAGAGGATCTCCTGAAAGGCATTCACTCAGATGATCGGAAGCATCATATTATTATAAACGTAGGGGGCATTAAATATTTGCTCCCATGGACCACACTTGATGAATTCCCATTGACACGTTTGGGCCAACTGAAATTCTGTAACAATTTTGATGACATTCTAAACATCTGTGATGATTATGATGTGACATGTAATGAATTCTTTTTTGACCGCAACCCAGGAGCATTTAGGACAATCCTGACTTTTTTGCGGGTTGGAAAACTTCGGCTCTTGCGTGAGATGTGTGCACTGTCCTTCCAGGAGGAGCTGCTCTACTGGGGAATTGAGGAAGACAACTTGGACTGGTGTTGTAAAAGGAGATACCTTCAAAAAATGGAGGAGTTAACAGAAATAAATGAAAGAGAGGATGATCTCCTAGAAAATGAAACTCCAGGTGAAACAGTGGAGGAGACAAAATTTGGCCTGTGCATGAAAAAGTTGCAAGACATGGTGGAAAGGCCCCAGTCTGGCCTCCCCGGGAAGGTGTTTGCTTGTTTGTCTGTTTTATTTGTAACTATTACAGCAGTGAACTTGTCCATCAGCACCATGCCTGACCTGAGGGAGGAGGAGGAAAGGGTAAGTTAGATTTGCAGGATGGAAAATAGTACGTGCCGGGAAAAGCAGAACAAATATAGGGTCTGATTCTATTGATTTGAATGGGGATTTTGCAGCTGTCCTCAGTGGGAACAACACAAAGAATATTGGAAGTCTTACATGACTGTGTTCAATCACTTGTAAGCGAATCAACCATATCCAGTTTTCTGTCCAAGGAAAATGTTGTTAGTGTGCGTTCTTCTGTACAACGGTATCTTATCTTTTCCAGCTTTGTATTTGCTATTTAGAAAGCCTGAAATAACTGAGCAACGTCTTCTGTGGAATAACTATAGTTATTTTCTAAGTTTTGCATTTAGCACGTAGTTCCAGTTTGTCGGTGCGTTTCCCCACTGCTACAGTTTCAGTTCCTTTAATATTTTTGTTTTTATTTAAAAAGAAAAACCTCTCTTCTTGTCACTGTACCAACTAAGATAGTTATTATCCAAGTGCTGATTACAAATTCCTTCTCTTTCCTGTAGGGTGAGTGTTCCCAGATGTGCTACAATATTTTCATTGTGGAGTCCGTCTGCGTGGCGTGGTTTTCACTGGAGTTCCTGCTAAGGTTCATCCAGGCAAAGAGCAAGTTTGCATTTTTGAGGAGACCGTTAACCCTGATAGACATAATAGCCATTCTGCCATATTACATCACTTTGCTAGTAGATACCACTTCAGTGGGCTATAAAAAGCCAAGCTCTGGGAGCATCTACCTGGACAAAGTAGGTCTGGTCCTGCGGATTCTCCGTGCCTTGAGGATTCTTTACGTCATGCGGCTGGCCCGGCACTCCCTGGGCCTGCAGACGCTGGGGCTGACGGCTCGCAGGTGCACCCGCGAGTTCGGCCTCCTGCTGCTCTTCCTCTGCGTGGCCATTGCACTGTTTGCACCGCTCCTGTACGTCATTGAGAACGAGATGGCGGACTCGCAGGAGTTTACCAGCATCCCTGCGTGCTACTGGTGGGCCGTCATCACCATGACCACAGTAGGCTATGGCGACATGGTTCCCAGGAGCATTCCCGGCCAGGTGGTGGCACTAAGCAGCATACTGAGCGGCATCCTCCTCATGGCATTCCCAGTTACTTCCATTTTTCACACGTTTTCACGCTCCTACATTGAGCTAAAGCAAGAACAGGAAAGAATAATGTACAGGAGAGCACAATTCTTATTAAAAACAAAGTCGCAGATAAGCAATGCATCACAAGGGAGTGATATTTTATTCCCCAGTATCTCTTCTGAGACTAGGGACAACGAATGAAATTGAAGTTACTGTTTCTCCTGATGTCAAATAACGTTTTGTTGTATCAGATTCCATCTTTTAATTTGCTTTGGAAATGTTTTACAAAGGCAACCCTCATATTAAAATGAAGAAAAGGGGCTATTAATCAGGAACTGATGTGGTTTAAGTCTACTATTATGCTGTTTCTTTCTTTCCTCACACCCCCAGCCCCCTCAAGCAAAATGTATTGTTAGGACAGCTCTTTCTATGAGATCACAGAGAGGGATTTTGAGACTTAAAAGTGCTCTGGCAAAAATAAGAACAACATATGATTATGTACTTGACAGGCTGTGTTGTCATTGGTAATACTTTTTGATTTGGCTAAAAAAGGTGTATATAATCATTACACAGGCTTTCCCTTTTTTTTGTTGTTATATATAAATAATGTAAATAGAACAAAATCAATGGCTAAATTATCTCCAAGCATAACGCCACTGAGCATAATGGAAGTAACCCCATATATTTGTCCCATTGTGCTCTTAAAAACCATTACGCAAGATTTATGTCCTTCACAATGGCAAATGTATCTTTCCTTGCAAGTCAGCCCTAAACATAATAGAAAAAAAGAACTGAGCTGTTTGTATCACAAGGCAACCTCGCTAAAGATGTAAATAGTCATAGCTCGCCATCTTCAAAATTTAGATGAAGTTATGGTGTTGATCCTGTCATTGAATACAGTATTCCCAGGAACAAAGTCTTTTGAGTTTTGTATCATTTAATATTGTTATCGAGGGGTGACTAGCTGCAAATCAAATGAAATATGCATGATAAGATGCCAGTCGTTCCCTACCATCTGTTGCCATGTTTTTTTGCTTTACCTCAGATAGAAACAGGATTAAAAGAGAACTGTTTCCAGGGGACACCCTACCATTACTTGGCAAATCGGTGCTGCGGCTACCCATTCACATTCAGCATTTGGTTCTTTAAAGGAGCAAAAAATATATGGTCGTGGGAAGTCGGTTGCCAATGATGAAAATATCATTTGAGTCACAGGGTGGGGGGGATTGACAGCTTTACACTTTCCTGTCCTCAGTCATGAGGGACTTAATTAACCATACCTTTACCATTACTACAGACATCATAGCAACTGAGAACATTTAGAATAGGATAAAGGCAATTAAGTGCCCAAAACACAAGTCTGTATTGTTCATCCACGCACGTGTCCTGGTCCAGGTTCCCCCACCGAAGTCAGTGGGAGTACATGGGTGAGTGAGACACTCAGGTTTGGCACCAGTTTCTGTAGAGACTAATGACAGACCTCCCCTTGAGCTTGGAGGGGATGAGATTGGGTTGCATAACTGCTCCGGAGACAAAATCCAGAAACTTAACAGAAAAATCAAATCCATTTGTTTGACTTGCATGTCTTCTCAGAGGTAAAGAAAAGCTAAACATAAGAGTTTCACTTTTTTTTTTTTTTTGTTTAAGTAGACTTTACTTGCCATTAACTCTTAAGAGCTAGAAAAACGTTGGAGCTGCCATCACATTTACCAATGCCTCTTGTCTCAATTTGCAAAATTACTATTGTTCACTGGCATTTCTTGAGTAGGTTGGTAGAAATGCCAGAATGTGTGATGGTTCCGCGATTTAAATTTTTAAAACAGATGGCATTAGTTCATCAACCTATACTGTACGGCCAAATAACATTATTAAACATATTTAAACAATATGTTTAAAATAACATTTGAAGCTGTTTTGGTGTGCTTATTCTTAGAGAATAATAACAAAACTTTTAAAAATGCATTTCACAAACACAAATAATTAGGACTCTAAGAGTCTTCACCCTGTCATAGGTAAATAGGCCTATGGAACATTAGTGCAGAGTTAAAATATCTAGGCTGAGCTCTTGGCAATTAATTACATGCCAGAACTAGGAACGTAACCAGCTTTTCATTCTCCTTCTTCAGCTTTAATTAGAGTTGGACAAAAAACAGGAACATTGCAACAAAAAGGGACACATTTTTCATCCAAAATTTTCTAATTTCAAAAACGTTTGATCATCTGTAGCATTGGCTTCAACACAAGTGCTATGCATCCTTCTACCTTTGTGGCAGCATCCATTATAAAAAGAATTGGTAATTAGGTTAGTCCTGTGATCAACAGTGAGTTATATATCTTTAATAAGTTGAGCCATAAACGAGAAGGTATAAGGAGAAACCAAGGATTACAAACCTAATATCATTTCCATTTTATGCTGGGTAACAAATGCTGAAGAACTGGCCATTTTCTCAATGTCTTTACACTGAATTAATGCTCGCTTATTTTATGTATATATTTATTTTTTAATCGTACAACTATAGTTTGATTTTGCAGTCTTTGTCCAAGGGAAAAAAAAAAATCACCCTGAAGCTGGGTGTTGGCTGAGCCCTGAAAGCATCTTGGCCATTGGGAGTTCTGCCCAAGTCAGGAACTATTTGTTCCTGACTTTCAGCCTTTCAGGATGCACCCCTTCGTAATTTTGTACTTGGCAACACATTACTTGTAAGAATATCAACATGTTTTACTATGAATCATTGTAACAAACTTGCTTATGTTTTACACAAGGTGATACATACTGTAGTCCTAATGCTAAATAAATCCAGCTATACATCTTAAGAGCACATTAGTGTGAAACCCACATGCTGTGTCCTCCCAGCTTCTACTGTGAAGGCTGAAGGTTTAAGATGATTATATCTCCTTACAGTACATTATCTCAAATTTTAGTCAAATTCATGAAAATTACGGATTGACTCAAAAGCTGACTGTTTCCAGTGACACAGCTGACAGCTACCAAGTCACCAAGTCAGTTATCGTTCCCCTTTTTTTTTTCATTTTTTGCATTTTAACAGGATGTGCAGTCAACAAGAAAGTTCCAATAAAAACACTTTGTACTTTTATGAAGTCAAAGGAATTGTTTGAATTGCCACTGCTAAAAGTGGTGCACGTCTCCAACAGAGATAGGCTTGCATTGCTATTTATATTATCCTGCGCATACTGCAGGAATATGTATAGTATGAAATCAAACAGCAGTATCTGTTTTAATTTTGATTAATAAAGTTTTAGGCCTTTCATTTTCATGTGTTTCTTACAGCATAGAAAGATTGTCACCATGTTATAGGCATGCTTGACAACCTAGGGCCAATATGAGAAGTGGCCAGCAGCTGAGAGAGAATTTGGCCATGAGCATCACTAGCTGAAGCAGGCTGGCTGTGAAAGAAAGTATTTATTAGGAAATAAAATTATCCAAGTATCCCCAGTTCCTCAAAAATGGTAACAAAAGCAACGAAGATCACTTGATGAGCGTACCTCTGGCAAATTGCAAAGACAGACCCACAGCATCACTTACAAGGTGAGCTGGAGTAGTCTAAGATTTGTATTACACTACCATTCACTATAGGTCAATGTCTTAGAGAAATTTCTCTTCAGGGAATATAGAGGAGTTGTCTCCATCTGTCCCTTTATATTTTTCCCACTGTAACTCAGTACTCCAGATCTTCACAGTCAGGAGCTTTAGTAGTGTCAGTGAATAGTCAGAGGCTTTAGCAGTGACCAATTAAACAGAAAAAGAAATTATGCAGAACTGAATCATGGATTTACAAGTCATCAGATGCACATGTCTGGGAAGGAAAACTGGCATGTTCTATACATTCATGACTTGTGTGGGTGGAGTTTAACTGAGGCGTCAGGCTGACGCAAACACAAAAACTGTTGCAAGAGAAGGCACTTGTTCCTACTGCTGTAGTTCTCTTCTGTAATTATAAACAAGGTTTCATAGGAATCTCCCTGTAAGCAGAACCTTCCCCCTCAAATGATCTTCACCCTTTAGGCTACAGACCAAGATCCAGAGTCATCGCAATTAATGTTAGGTACTTACCAAAGTGCCTGAAGTAGCAGCCTAGTTGCCAAAAGGTCTAAATTACCACCGAGAGATTTTATTCTTCTCTTTCTCCTTCTCTTTTTTTGTTTCTTTTAAATAGAGGGAATCTAGAATGAACTACGTCCTTAATTCAGGTGTCTCATTAAAAGCCCAGTGTTAGGTTAGATGAATCCCAGCTGTATTCTTCAATTGCACAGAATCACCAACATCTACCATCACTAACTCTCCATCATTTGGCCTTTCCACATTTCATGCACTGCATACTGGGACCAAGAAATATGAAGAGGTGCAAAGAATCCTGATGCAAGGTCCAGAGAGGCCAGCTTGGTCTTGATCAGGATCACCACTTCACAGCTTACCATAAAATAGTTGTGTTCCACACAACTACTGAATATTTTTTGCTCAGATAAGAAAAAAAAAAGACTAGAAAGTTAAAACAAGAGGAAAGCAACAAGTATTTCACATAACAAAGCTATGAAACTTCATACCCCACTCTTAGCTTTGCAACAGGCTGAAAATTAGACTAGATACTCCTAAATCTATACAAATTTAATTGACTGTGTTTAATCAGAAATCAAATTTAAAAGTGGTAAATGAGACTTTGAAGACAGGGACATCAGTCTCTGCTCACATATCAGTCTTTGGCATCAGCCAGCTGACCTGAGCCACTGATTCTGGCCCAGGCATCAGAGTTCACTCATTATTTTCATTTACATCATTTACAGAAGTTGCCACAATAATATATAGCCTGTCTCGTTCTTATGTTAATAGCTGCTGTTGGCTTCCTTACGAGAGATTTTACAGCAACTTGAGTATCTATTTATCCAAAAGATGACATAGGTACCAAAGGTACAGAAAAAAACCTTGCCAGAAGTACACTGCAGATTGCCTCATGAAACAGTGGAGCTGTGGTATCCCACAGCCCATTCTGAGATCACAACAGTGCAGCCTATAGAAACCAGAGGGATTGAAGGCATGGAGCTAATGTTCATCACAGGGGATGAACTCCCATGACCAAAAGTAGTCTTCAAAAGTTCTGCTGCTAAAATGGAAAATGCTTAACACTAGATTTACCCACTTATCCATTTACTGCTTCATCTACGGCATTTTAACAATACCTTTTCAGCACTGCTAATGATCTCAGTGTTACTACCTTAGTAATGATCATATAAAAACCTAGACAGAGAAGAGGAGAAGACTGGCTTCAATCTAAAACTTCTAATTCACTGAAGCACCTCAGCTTTGTGCATGTTCTTCTGTCTTGTCTTCTTACATTAGAGTGTAAGTCCTTGGGACAGTACTTCTCGTTTGGCATCAGCCAGTCACTGTATAGCACTATGTAAAATCATATACCACAAATAAAGATAAATTTGTACACCACAAAAAGTCAAGGAGAACTCTGCCTGCACTGCCAAACTGAAAATGCTCGGAATTTGGCCTATTGATTAACAACAATAAAATCAGAACTTCCTCCCCTTGTGCTCATTGTTTTTCTTTATCATTCTCCAGTATCTGTCTGTAATGTCTTCTGTAATATTCCCCAGAAATCACCAAAGCTATCATGAACGCTATTAGCCCTGCTGAAAGCATGGCGAAGAAGCTGTAGGATCATAATATCAGGGGATGCTTCTACCCTGTCCAACAGGGCTTTTACTTTCTCTTGGCCTGCGGGAACTAACCCAGGAGCGCATGCCACTTGAACAGAAATACAGTTCTGCCATAACTGGAAACATAGAGGGCCAATTAGGATAATTAGAGAGTATTTGTTACACTTTATAAATATTCATTCACTTTCCCTGTAGCCCTTTTGACATGAGTTGAACAGCTTTGTGCAATGCTAAAGTCAGCTAGGGCTTTAAAAAAGCTAGGGCTTTAAACACGTGCGGCACTGTCAAGCTAAGGTTTCAGCTTCTCCCTTACTGGGCATCCTTTACGACTGCGGGTTTGTAGCCATACTTAATTACGATCAAAATGTTATTCCTACATCCATTGCGGGGCAAGAAAAACAGGGCTGTAAACTACATTTATTAGCCTGCTCGAGTGACTGACCCAGAATACAAGTACCCAACCGTCATCTGGAGATTAGAACTAAAAAAACAAGGTCATTTGTTTCTGAAGCTAGATAGCTAATTTCACAGCCCTCAGCCATGCAAGTACAATGGTCAACAAGTACAGTAATACTTATTTTTATGCTCAATATAATAATATCATTGTTATGGTATGCCTATCACAGGAACAAAGTTGCGTGGACTAGCCTGTATTTCTATAGCTAATTATATACAGAGATAATGTTTTGACACACAATTGCTGGATGATGAATTGAAATACTATAGTTCATTTTCATTAGTCACTTACTTTATGTCATAAAAAGCCTGAGTTTTATCATCCAGAACTTTCATAGTGGTAGTAGTTCTCCGGTCAAACAAGGAAAAGATGACTCAGTGTCACTCATAAATTGAAGTATATTTTGGGAAAGCCAAGGAAATACTATCCTAAAGCAAATCAGGTCAAACACTGTGGAAGTGCAGGTATCTCAACAATTAAAGAGGAATGTTTTAGGGGGCAATTAGAGTGGGGAAAGTTAAGATCGCAAAGCATCATGTGGCACAGTAAGTGGACGATTTTTTTTTTACCTAGGGGAAAGTAGGGAGCACAAATTCGACATTGGCATCCCAGGACGAAAAGGAACTTCCATGCCTTGATGGAAATGGGGAAGAAGCACCAACAACAGTAGCATGAGTTAAAGCTGGCACCTCATTCCACCATATAAGGCTTCTATATGCCCCAAAATTGCATTAATACAACTTGCCTCTCAGTGGGACTTGTGCAAGCCTAGACACGCTTTCTCCCCCTTCCATTGACTCCTTTCCTTCTGCATAGAGCAGTAACTCTGGTCCACAACTAAAATAATTAAAGCACTTGCACAAGATCATGATGCACATTTAAGCTGCAGGTATATTACTGATAAGCAAAACTAAAGGGAAAAATTTCCCTGTAAATTGAAATTTGTGATTATTTGCTGTATTTGAATATGATTGTATTTCTTTATTATAACAGTTTTAGTACCCAAAAGGCATGATAAACAAGGGAGGAGGCCTTGGTCAGTTCTGCTAGAAGAGTTACTAAGAAACGCTGTAAATTCAACCCGTGTTTCAATGTTTTGGCTAAGATAAGGGTTTGCAGCTATGCAGAGGAGAGAATATGCCAGATTCAAGCATCTAACATTGCCATCTACGGGCCACTCCTGGCAGTTGGCTTCTGAGCCTGGGAACCCCGTCCTAAAGCATCAATTCACACCAGTCAAGTCTTCAAAAAGATGTAGAAAACATTTTCAAAATTTGTTTTTAAACTCTAGGGGCAAACATTCAATCCCCTGCACAGCTTGGCTTCTGCATATGTGGCCTCTCTTTTGCCAGGCCAGGCTGTTAGGTACTGTCTTCTTAGTTTCTGGAAAGTGTGTAGCACATATTGACACTGCATAAACATCAATAAACAATATTTAAGCAGCATTTATTTGGCTGGTGTTTTGGGAAGTGACAGTTTTCAAAAGGTTAATGCAACTTTAGATGATTAAAATTAAGAATCTTCAGGGTCCCATGGGGAAAACGCAAACACTTTCAATGCTTGTATGAGGGCAGCCTGATCACTGATCAGTTACAAATTGATTTCCAAGAGTAACTACAGGATTTGCTTCAAAGGAAAAAAATATATATCATTTCGTTAATCCTATCTGTGCAACCACTAAACGTTCAAGGATTTCAAGTGTGTCTCACTCAAACTCCTCTGCTGCTACATTGCAAGGTAGCCACAGAGATAGCGGCATCCGTCAGGTTTCAGGGGTGGGATCCAGCTCACGTAACAGCAGGCATTTACAGCCATTTTAGGAAGCGGGACAGCTTAAGCAGTCCGTGCTCCTCTTTGCCTTTCCTGTTTTTCCCCCTTTACAACCGCTCATTCCCACCCCAGGCTTTGCATTGGGCCAGTGCAGGCATTCTTGTTGCTGCATGATGAATTGGAGTAGGAAATTCATTCTGCTGAAAAATAAACCAGATGAAACGATTCCCTGACCCCGTTCACTCGGCCGTCGCACAAATACACATACCAGACCAAAGCAAAGGGCAGTGAGGGGCCAGGGAAGGCCTAAGCCAGCACTGCTAAAATGTAACTTGTGAAACTTCAAAGTGATGCTTCCACCATCAGCCAGTTGACTGGGATCCAGCAAGGCTTAGTGGAGGGTTTTCCCAGCCATCTGCGACACTTTGGTAAGCTGGGATCAATCACCCTGCAGAGGAGAGATCTCTTTCTCTCCCTGTAGTCAGTCATTGTCAATCTGACAATCAGTCTAACAACTAACCTTCAAATGTTTAAAATCAGAAGAAAGTAATCCCATCCAGAACATCTTTTCTAATACAAACTATGAAATTGCTGCTTGTTCATTGCCAAAGGATTAATCTGTATTTCTCAAACTTACAAAATATTTGTGAAAGTAGTGAAGACATCACTGCGTTATGCTCAAAAATAAAGAACTGTCACTGAACACCCATCTACAGACAGGCACAGAATTTATCATGATGGATAGGCCAAGGTCAACAGAAAAAGCAATCTAGTCTTTCTGTGTAGTGAAAGCAGTGTAAATAACAACAGGGCCTGCTCAAAGCAGTGGGCCACACTGCAGGTCAAAGTTACGTCTTGCAGATCCCAAACCCCAAATGCAGGCACTAGGGGGTAAGTTTGTAGCTTGAGGTGCTTCTCCATTACAATACAGGGTCATCTCGGCCAGTGCCTCCGGAGTCCTACTCTCCCAGTGCCAGCCAGGAACTCCCACCCGTGCTTTCCTCAAAGAGACACTGACACTCTGCAAACCCGCCAGCGAAACGCTGCTTTGGCAGGGTTAGTTTTCTCCTTGAAAAGGTTCATGGAGGGATTCAGATGAGTGCTAGTATCTGCAGAAGGAAGGGGCAGAAACAAGCAGCTTCAGACAGGAGGGGCAGTGGCAGCACTAATGCAGAATGACTTAACCTGCTGAGGAACTGCGCCCTGTGGATTGGGGAGAGACAACGTTAGCACGGGAGCTGGGAGGAAAAAGAGAAATACAAGATTCTGAGGCCAGAGCTCATGGAAGCAGCCAGCGGGGTATTCTCTATGGTTCCTTTGCCTGCCTTTATGGAAAATGGACTTTAACATGCATTCCAGTAAACAAAACAGAGGGCACCAAGGTGCCAGTCCCCACTATTCCACCCAAGGATTAATGATCTCGCAACGTTCAGGTTCCAAACTGTGCAACAATGAGACAGGGAATATTTGCTTCCCTGTTCTCTGGAGTAAAAAAAAAAAATCTATTTCCAAAAATGCACTAGGAGTTTTAAGGAAGGGACAGTATTGAAGCTTCTGCCCTCTCAGATAAAATGTTACCATGTTATATTTCTGTGACAGGCAGTACCTTTACCAGTATGGATGCACACACGTATCTTGTAGTGTTGATTAGTTAGGAATAGACCAATCTATATTTTTGCATATAATTTCTGTACATGATTTTGGCTCTGAAGTTCTATCAGTAGTATCACTTTTGATTTCAGTAGCTTCGCCACTCTCGCTGCTTCCACACCCCCAGAGCTCACTGTTATGAGAAAAAATAGGTAAATAAGAAGCAGGTAGAAATGAAGAACAGGTAGGAAGCAACCACAATAAATAAGCACAATTTTCCTGCAATGTAATTGCTTACACTACAGCTCACCAGTGTCTATCTCACCTTCTCAGCTGGAAGTCCCCAGCAGGCATCACAGCAATAGTGAATCATAAGGAGAGACGGAGAAGAGGATAAGGTGTCTCGCAAAGTGGAAGTCTATGCATGTTGTGAGCAATGCCTGAACAAGTTCCTTTGAGATGTCACCACAGGCCGGGAAAAGGGCTGTCAGCCTCTTCCTTTTATTGGTACTTTGGAAAGGGAAAAATTGAAAATAAAGTCACACAAACAGTCATCTCCAGAACAGCATCTCCAGTAAGAAAGCACCAGCTTCTCCAAGAGAAAAACACCAAGCTTCTATCTTCAGCTGAGAGTACCAGGAGCAGATGAAGCTTGCACAGCCATGAGATCAACTAGGGAAGAGAGAGAGAAAGAAGGCAACAGATGCTCTACGGTCTTTTTCTCTTCCTGGTAAAACCATGCTTAAGTATCTGTGTGTAGACATCTTCAAGCCTTGCTGTCTTATATGTGCTTTGAATGGACTGTAGTAGGCCACTACAGATATATAAAAAAAATAGAAGAGGAAGTTAATAATAATCAGGGCAGAAGATGAGGAGGCTCCAAAAGATTTTGGGGTAGAAGGCAAAGGAGAAGAATTAAATTATTGTTTAAAAAAAATAAAGGGTCAAGAATCAGATACTGCCTGGATCAGTGGAGCAAGAAAATTGATTCAAAGATGAATGTTAGAGTTCTGCAAGTGATTTCTATAAATTCTACCTCAAGTCAAAAAAAAATCACGAATGGTTTTATAATATAACACCTGGAATATGCCTGTGCTCTCTGCATGTGTATGCATGTATACACACACACACATATATACAAAAACAAATTTAAATCCTTTAATGTCTTTGTTTCATACTCTTCTATTGTGAAAACAGAAATCTATTTCATGAAAAAAAGATTTTTCCATTCACTACTCGTGAGCAGGTGAAGGTCCATGAGTATAACAGAAATAGTTTCCCAGTTAAACATATGAGAGGAACCATTTTAAAATTGGAAAGAACCTTTCTTTCCAAGCAGAGATTTGGTCTCCTAGCAACAGCATGAACACCTTGCGAACAAAACAGATTATTTGCACAGAAAGGCCTCGTACCACGGGCACAGAGACCCTGCAAGAAGGTTCAGCTGCCCACGTCTTCCCTCGGTGACCCATGATGAAGGATCATGTCAGCAGAACCTACAGCAGATGCACACCTTCAGGGCCCCAGTGAAGGAAGGACGCTCTCTCCCACTGCTCTGGGATCTTGAGCACCCCCAACCACTCACAAACGGCAGCAACAATAATAATCTCTTTTTTTTTCCTTCCTATCCTTCAGGAGACACTGTCAAGAACTTAACAAAAGGATGAAGAGAAGACATGGATTTTGTAGCATACTCCTAGAGGAGTATAGGTTAAGTCCACAGTCATTCTTGTTTCTTGAAACATACCACCTTTGTGGTGTGTATCATCATAGGCCTCTTTGACATTGATCAAGTTCTGCTGTCCTAGAGGAAGGTAATCATCATGCTAGAGTTGGGCTGGCAGAAGTCCTCTTCCCAGAACTATGGCTGAATCCAAGTGCATCGTACCAGTTTCTTCAACCTAACAGGTCCTTTCCAGATCTTGGATATCGGTTCTGCAGTTCCATAGTTACAGCCTGATTCTAGCTGTCATTAGAGACTACAGTTTTAAGTAGGCCTGATACAGAATAGGAGTAGGCATTTTTCTGACTGGAAAACCAGCACCCAGAGAGCAGCAGTAGGAACAGACTAAACTTATATTATTTTCCTTTTCTGATAAGATTAATAAGATAGATATAGTTTTGGATGGAAGCTATCTTTTGCTCTATGCTAGTCTTTGTCACGAGCATAAAACATTAGAACTGCAATACTTAAAGAGAAGGAAACAAGAGGTCAGAACAGTACTATCACACCTATTTCAGTGGGCTTCAACAATCAGCTGGATCGATCGCATGAGATATATTACGACGTGAAGGTTATATTAATCCATCCAATGACAGAAGACTAGAGAATTATGCAAACAGGGGCCTTTCTCCTTTCCTTGTTTTTCACAAGAAAAACACACTTATTAAAAGACTTCCCTGGGATCTTATCACTAGAGTAATAGTTAAACAGCACACAACAGAGATTGGAGAAGTACAGGAGTACAAGCAGAACTCAGCAGAAAGGCTGGCTTTCTTCTCAATCTTTTGCCTTACTCATGAAATCACTACTCTTTTGGACAACTCGGAGTTATTCCAGCAGACAGCTCTTACAAATCTTTACCCTATCTCCTTCCTAACCATGGGTTCTACGTATACGCTGCTTTTTTTCCTGGGCTTGTTTTTCCCCATAAATTTCTCCAAGATGCAGCATAAGGTAAGCAGTGAGGCTGGTATATTTAAATAACTGCAATATAAACCACAGAAGGTTAAGACCACAAACCACTCTGTGTATATAGATACATTTTTCCTGTGGTTTACATTATTGTTTCCTAACTGTACTCCAAATTTTGCCACCCTAATGCATGTTAATGTTTTACTCTTCTGGTAGCCCCAGCGGAGGAGGACAGTTATGTCTGTATGATGCCCACTAAAAATTCTGGTGAAAGCTAGTTAGTCTCTAGCTAGCATTTGATTGCGACCTTTCTTCTTACTCCAGCCACTCTTACTTTAGCAATGCGACTTCCTCTTAATCAATCTGCCATTTCAAAACTACTCAAGCAGTTCTGACTGAAGTCCTGGAACAAAACAAAGCAGCACTGTTTGCACTTACCAAGTTTGCTCTACCACCACAGGGTGACTTGACCTCACCTTTCTCATTCAAGATGTGTCCCAGCTTTGAAGTAACCGGCTCAATGCATGGAGTGACTGCTCCTTCCTTCCACCCTCAAACGGATCTGCGCGAGAAGGGAAAGAACAGAGGCCAGCATAAGAAAATATGTTCTTGCTCTTTATCTCTGCCCACCGCTTCAGAGCATTGGTGCCTTTCCCTCACACAAGAGTTTAACTTACCTGAGTAACCACTGCAAGACTGGATGTTAGATATGTTTTGCTTTCAGTAATAAGGTTCCACAGCACCACTACTGGGAGGGCTTTTCACCACACCTGGGAGTATGAAGCTGCACTCGGTTTTGCATTCATTAAAATGGATCCATCTTTCTGATGCTGGTAAGACAGACCACATTCAGCATATTCATTGTCTCAGAAATCACCCGCCCACAGGCAGCAAATTTTCTCCCTTTACTAAGCAAGCAATTGGAAACAACCTCCCAAAACTTAGTCTGTTTGCCCAAGAAACTTTGGAGAAAATATTTCTGCTGTAGGCAATGAATTGAACAAGTGAAGTTGAGGAGTTTCCTTTCTAAGTGTTGTGTTTAGAAAAACAAATATGCTAACCAACAATGTTATTTAAGATCTTTGTATCTACACGACAGCCACAAGCTGTAAGGCACTACATTTTGCAAGGTAATTGTTCTTTCTGAAATGCGCAGAAAGGGTTTGTAAATGAAAAAAGATGACATTACACTATTCCTCTTTTAGTCTCCTCTCACTCAGGTGGGAGTGCTTCTCAGATGATCTCAGATAAATGTGACCTGCTGTAGGTCAATCCATTTGCCTTCTCCCACAAGAAACAGCTGCCACCTTTTATTAGCATTAAGTGATCACATGGGAATAAAAGACAGAAGCTTTTCAGTGTCATATAGAAAGGAATGCAGGGGCTGAACATATACTAACTCCAGAAGAAAAAGCATATCTTTTTTCAGGCTGATCTATAGCTCTTCCAAGTGAATCATAACTTTTCCACAGACATCAGTGGGCCGTAGCAGAGGATCTTTAGATAAAACTCTTGTTAAAAAAAAAAAAAAAAAAAAAGACTTCATCAGTCTTGCAACATGGACTCTGTAAGGATGTTACTCGGACTCAACTTTCTACACAATGGAACTGGTCAGCACAAATTCTATCGGAGTGAATAAGAACCAATGCAAGAAGTAATTAGCTATTGCAAATACGTAAATTAACGGACAGCTATCTGTTACACTTTTATATTGCAAAAGAACTTCCTAAAGGTTCTATTAAAAGTAATACCTGGTGTCAAAAATGCAAATGTTTTTCATTTGGAAGGAATTCCTTTTAGATACCTGGCATCTACATACAAGAAACCTTTTCATAACCTTCTTTCTCCACGAACAGAAACCTTTTCTCTTTAAGAGTTCAACTTTTGTCTTCTTGTTCCTACAAAGTCACAGATACAACTATATCCAGGTGAAAGAAGGAGCCAGAGAAGTCAGCTCCTTTTGTGATCTTAATAGCAGTTTGTTTCCCCTAGTTTGGTAACTATTCTACTGCATTTTACTCAAATGCACTGGAATATGTGCACATTTTTTTTCCCCCTCTATCACTTTACAGATCATCTTCTGATGTCTTACAAGCCACTACTACTTTACAAACCACCAGCTGAGGAACACTTGCACTGGACTACACAATTTGGTTGAACCCAGCTGTCAATTTTATTAGAGCATTATAGTACCCACAAGTCTCTTTGCTGCTAGGTTTTCAGTTACACGTGAAAGATACTGGGCTAGTAAGTCAGAGACACAGACATAACCAAGTGACACCAGTAAAGTTCAGGCTAACGTTGTAACGACTCAACTTTTTCCAAAATATACAGCAATAAGCAAGCCTTTAATCTTTAGTGACAGAATGACCCAGTTTCAGGAACAACTCACCTAATCAACCAGGACATGATTTAAGCAACTGCAAATCAATTATTGTGATAATCTACTACTGGAAGTAGCAGATAGGCCATTTTTTTCATTTCTATGTTGAGATCAGCATCTTGATTTCAATTAAAATTACCACTATTCAAACTGATGCAAGCGCCATGACTTCACAAGACCTCTCCTTCTGATTTATACTCATGCACCAGGATGTCTGTCAGGCTCTCCACCTCTAGCATAACACGTATGTTTAATCACAGCGTTACAGGAAGAAAGCTTAAAAGACATCGCACACATGAAGCTAAAGATTTCAAAAAGACAAAAACTTTCAAAGCTTTTGTAATTAATCCCAAGTTAAAACGATGTTTATTATTATAGAAACTTTAAATAAATGAATATACTCATTTTTATCCCCTTGTTTCATCACATTTCTTACCCTATTCTTCTCTGGAGTGCTAGAAGATGCATTGTCACTTGCTGCTTTTGCTATTTGAAATCTCTGTGACATACGTTAACTTGCTGTTAGAAAGTTCCCTCATGAAACCTGCCCTGACCACCCTTGCAGAATTTTTTAGGACAAGACAACCATCAAAATCTATTCCTACACTATCACATAGGATAAGAGGCTTCACAATCTAGTTTTGTTAGCACAGGAACATTCCTGAGCTCTAGGCACAGGTATTTCTGCAGGCTTGCTCCGATGCATCAGGTCTGCAAGTACAGTTCTTGCTTTCCAGAGACATCCATGCTCTGCTCTGTGCTTTGTTCTTTGACTTTGGTGATTGTAATTGTTTTAGGTTTTATGCCGCAAGTCCAGTTTTACAAAACAGTAAGGACAAACAGAAAACATCCTTGCCTTTTCGAAGAAACTGCTCTAACCAGGTAAGAAAATCTGCAGTGCTACAGAATGTCTTTTTAGTAATGTTAAGAACGTACCAACAGCGACTCTTTGCAAATTTAGTCTCTACATTGAATTTTGGGCTAGTGCTAATAACCCTTTTTTGCACAATTTTCCATTTTGGCTGCAAAAGCTCTTCAAGAGGGCATGTGAAAGACAAACCTCAGGTTAACAATGCTTTAGAAAACCATGCTTTGAAAACTCACCCTAGAAAGAGCACTTCCATTATATATGCACATATTTTTTGGAATATGTACTTACTATTAAACTGCCCTACTTCCTTTTATTCTAATTTCCTTGCTTGCTTTTTAAAAAATTGCGTAACAATACATTTTTAAAAAGGAATCCCAGCCCTCACTAAAGGTTGGATTGCGTCTTTTATATCCAAGGGAACAACTTGGTTTGTAAACTTGCAGTGCCACCTAGCAAACAACCTTAAAAATTCTTTTCCCTGACATAATTTTAAAAATGACAACCTAGAGCTTTCATATTTTTTTTTCAAAAAGACAAACTCATGCTTGCAGTATTTTAAGCATCCAGTATGTGGTTTCGAACAGTTTTCACCAGAAATTACACTTACAAACGGGTTAATAATAAAGATATATTCAGGAGGTCTAAAATTCTGCTATACAAACTTGAAAATTCGGTTGGACACACCCCATACAGATTTGTATATCAAAGAGTTGTATTACAAGTTTATAAATGTATATGCTTTGATGGCAGGTCAGTGCAGAATTTGCTGGAGTTTCCAGATAAGACAGAGACCCCTGCCACCAAAATAAGGAGGATCTAAGCTTATTATGGAATATTAGCTCCTGCAAGATACCTTTTAGACTTGCCTAAAGGGTAGATTGATTTACCTTGCTTTAAAATAACAACTACATCCCAGGAAAAAACGAGTTTAAATATATAAGTCTGTCCCTGATTTGTGAAGCTATCCCATAGATTTACATGTGTGAAATATTCAAATGTAACAATTCAGAGTAGATGTAACCTTTTTCTATTATCTTAAAGATGAAAAAGGAAACTGTTTCCAATTCGACTCTGTGCCAAATCCCAGTATGCCATTTTAAAAAAGAATCTAACCAAACAACCAAAAAGCAATCTCATCACATCAAATGAGTGAGGGGAGAAGAGACAAACATACACTCTGCTGACTGAACTCATCCCTTCCAGTAAGATATCTTAGCCCACCTACACTTAAGTTCCTTGAATAAAGGAGTATATCTTCATTTGCAGCATCAGATTTCAGGCACAAATATAAAATCCACTCCCCAGTCAGTATTTAGATAGTATTTGTTTCCTTTAGAATTTCTGAGTTTTACTACGATACTTCCTAAAGAATAGAGAAATCATGACATGTTGCATAGAGTAAAAGAAACAAAGCACGTCAAAGCAAAAGTTAACTTTCCAATAACAAAAACTGTTTTGGTTTCCCTAAGTTGCTACGGCCCTTGACTTTTCAGACCATCTCCAAAGAGGCCAGCACTGCTTGAGGACTGTATTTATAGGAAGACTTATGTATCATTTCAGCAAGTTCACAAAGAGAAATAAGAAATTAACCTTTTCTATAGTTCTCAACAGAGATACCGTCACCCCGAAGCAACAGCATTCCAATATGCATGCGAGCAATGAAACAAGAAAAAGGCCCAGAACGTAAAGAACGGAATTTTGACAAACACTGCAGACCCCATCTTTAACTAAGATATATGGCAGATGTTGCCAGGTTTGCTAAGAATTTAATTGTTATCTTAAGCTAAGCAAGGCAGCACATTTTTTCCAAAGAAACCTGTGTTTTGCATGCTCCCTCCTTTAAGATCAGAACCGAACTACCGGTTCTTTTCAGAATAACTGTCTCCCTTCCGTATAGTCCACTAAGTTTTGCATACAACTCCAGACTCCCCAAACTTTTTCAAATTCTTCTCTCTGCGAAGATAATAAATGCATTTCAGATGCTGTTCTCCTATAAAAATTTAGGATCTAGGCCCCTGCAGGTTCGCAAGAACGGTCTCTCCCAAAGTAGTTTTAACAGAAAAGATCTTTGCAAGTCTGTCTCTCTTATCAGCCTGCTTTGGTGCATTTGCTCCTTTTTACCAGCTCTGGCATCTTTCTATCTTTTTGGTCCATCTTCATTCACCTCTTGCATTGTTTTTCCACAGAACCCTACAGATCCAAGAAGCGTTAGCTGTTTGTTACACAGCACAAAGACTATTTAAAAATTCAGTTTCCTATTTGCATAATGTGATACAGGAAATCCAGTTAAAAATGTGCTCCAGAACAAAAAACACACACACACACACACATATCACTCAGGCCAAGCTGCAATGACAGCTCCTTTTCCTCTCATGCAGTTTGCATTCGTTTGCTGCTAAAATGTTACAACGCAGGAAAAAACTCTATACTGGATTTCAAGTCTCTGGAAACAACACACAGATTTACCATCAGAAAGGTTTTCCACTCGCCCTCTCCTCAACAGCACCAGTGAAAAGTTCATAGATTCACCTTGCTTTTAAATACTGAGGAGGAATCACTCCTTCAGGTCAGGTGGGCACGTAACATACCATCACTTGCTTAGCATAAGGAGGTTGGGTGTTAGCGAACTACCTTTATTATGTTTCAGTCCAAGTCTCCTCTTGCTGTTACAGTAAATAGGGAAAAATGAAAACACAGGTCATACATTTCAGATACCTCCCTCTGTTTTAAAATTCCCAACAACTGAAACCCATCAGAAGCCAGATTTTCTGACCGAGCAAAGCCTGCACAGCCTGCCTTAAAAAGCTTCGAATTTTGAATCTCACAGTACACACTACAAAACATTAAAGCTTACTCTAAGTCACGACCTTCAACATTTTCATTGTCCTCCAAACTGCAAAAGATTTGACTCTGTATTTTATAAATTCACGGAACTGTCTCATTCACAAGAGATTATTAAGATTAGTATTGCTAGGACCCATGGCACGTTACAATAAAGTAGGCGGTGTAGACGTTCTCCAACTTATTCTACCAACATATGCATTTTCGACTATTAATTATAACGGTACTATTTTTTTTTGCCTCTGTATAATGCTAAGATTAGTCATGACAGGTGATTTTTTTCTCTTCAGAAAGTAAAAGAAATCCATATCCTAATTAATGGAATTTAAAAAAAAATTACTGTGCATAAGTGATGAGGACTCAGGCAGCTCTCTGTTGAGAAGCTGTTTATTTCTCTCTTTTTTCATTCAGTTCCTGTAGAAGAACTGTTTAGCAGTGTATAGTTCTTCATGCCAATTAATAAAATAATGCAGCACAGTGGGGAATATGCAACTATGACAACAAACAAGAAGGAAACTTAGGAAATGTCTTCCTACTTGCAAAAGGGAGGCCATATATTTATTTCTATTTGCCTTACCTCTTCATCTATCAATCCGTGAAAGCTTCCAAACCTTCACAGAAGTATTTTCTGGACGTTTTAAAAACTTTCTGGGCTAAAACTTTTGTCCTATTACTATTTAGCTTCACTTTCTCTACACAATTTGCATAACACGTTTGTTGCCAGCCAGGCAAATGATGGATGGCTTTCTAAGCTCATAATAGATGTGAAAGACAATAAAGTATCTCAAATTTCCCTGAAACTTTATAAAATAGTCATAGATTAACATCTACATAAAATCTTTTTACTCAGGTACATCCTCTACCCAATTTCTTAAGACTGTGAGCACTACTATCACAACTACCACAATTCAGATGAATCGGGTCTACAGAAATCGCCATGTGACCGATATTACGTGGCCGACTACACATACGTTTCTTGTGCCTGTACCTTTAAGAAATCCTTCAACTTACATTTGCCTGCCTAAGCTGCACCGGGGTCAGCAAAGCAAAGTACCACACCACAGAAACAGCACAACATCTGAAGTTTGGCTTTGGCTATGCTCCAGTTTCTCCGTCATTATGACAGCAGCGCTACCCTTTCTTTGCCACTGGCAGCGAGCACTTCTTTTTCACGAAAACACACCACTTCCACAGCGAACAGACAGAAAGAGACGTTGACCAAAACAGTCTTGTCAGCAGAAGCCTTTTCTTGGCAGTTCTCTGTCACAGCCTTAATGTTGCTAATGACTAGCTCGAGATTAACAGTAATTTTTTTTTAATCACCGTGTACACTGTTTCAATTTTTTTTAATGTTAGATAGTTAGGAGACTGAAAGTAAAAACTTTCAACACAGCTCCGGTGCTTGGTCACTCTTAAGACTATAATTTCTAATCAGGATTAATTCTCAGTTCCCAAACGCACAATTATGTAACTATTCCAAGTCCTTCTATTAAATAACAACCAAGAAACATATATTTTTTTTCTATTTCCATTGATGGTTTCACATTTTTATAAAGACAGAATTTAAAGCATCTACAAAAATACATGATTTTTTTCAAAAATTACCATTAAAAAAGCAACATGGTATCTCTACCTCCCGTTTTCGCCATACGATACAGTAATTACACAGAGAAGATGAAACTCTACAGCATTTACAGTGAGTATTCATTCTTTTTCAGCAATATGTAAATTGTTAATACTGAGGAAACGTTGGGTCAATTTTACTGGCCCAAGCCATGAGCCCCCCTTTAATATCTTTAGCTAACACAGAACCAAGTGCTTTGACAGGCAGCTCCCGCAGAATTCTTACAGCCTTCTGGGAGTCATTTCCCAATTTGCAAACAACATATACAGGAAAAGCTGTTTTGCCTTTGGTTCCCTGCTTTTCTTCACAAATTCTTTTTTCTAAACGTTTCAGATATTCTTCGCTTCTTTCTTCCAATTTACTCAAAGGAATATGGACAGCATGTACCAGGCGACAAATATCCACTTCTACCTGCGGACGAACATCTAACAACACATGAGGAACCTGCTCATCCAACACTTTTTTGTATTCCTCTACAGATATCCTGTCTTTACTGGACAGCAGATGTAAAGTCCTACATTTGTCTGTTGCAGAAGAACCACAAAACGCTTCATAATCCTGAAGACAAGTGACAGACGGATTGTCACCACAAACAGAACAGTCTGGTTTCTTCGGTCTTAACCTGATGTTGCGAAATCTCCCCTCGCGAGCATCAAACATCAGCATGAACTGACCGAAGGAGGAGCCCATTCCTGAAGCTATCTTCAGCACTTCCAGGGCCTGGATGCAGCCCATGATGCCCGGCACAACACCCAGCACTCCGCCGTCCGCGCAGTTGGTCACCGTCTCCGGCGGAGGGGGCTTGGGGAAGAGACAGCGGTAGCAGGGCCCCCCCTGGTAGTTGTACACGACCAGCTGCCCCTCCAGCCTGAGGGCGCTGCCGGACACCAGGGGCTTCCCGGCGAGGACGCAGGCATCGTTCACCAGGTAGCGGGTGGGGACGTTGTCGGAGCAGTCGGCCACCACGTCGTACTGCCGCACCAGCTCCAGGGCGCCGCGAGGGCTCAGGGCCCCGCAGTAGGGCACGTACTGCACCGTGGAGTTG